ATAGATCTTTGCACGATGGCCATGGTATGGCAAGTCATGTTGAAAAAGGCATTCCCTTGAGGGGTGACCTGGACCACCTGGACCTGTTCATTGGTTGTAGCAAGAACCGATCAAGTTCACCTGATCAGAATTCATCGACACCCCTGGATTCTCGTTTGCATCACACACACGCTGCCTCGGTCTGTCAGGAAGTCGACCAGTGATATCAACACTGCAACACTGCAACCTGCAGGAAGTGGAGGGGTCACAGGCCACCGTGTCTGGAAGCAATGTGACGTTGCGCATGTCATGATCCGGAAACGTGACTACGGGTGATTACAGTAATCACACCACCAGCCCGTCTTGCGCATATCTCCATTTTGCCGAGTCAGACCACACATCAACACAAAGCGATTTCTAGCACGCAACAAGAAAGCAGCACCCAATCACCTTTGGAGTGTGCAAGAGCCTGAGTCGATGTTTGGATTCCTCTCCAATCTCCTTTTCTTGCACACTCCACGGCAATAGAAGCAAAGTCGTGCACAGTGCTCTTTCTCAGTTGGTTGAAAACTGACTGCTCAGCACAAGGCACAGCTCTTTTGAAAAGGGGTGCACTTGGCACCGTACTTAATTAAAGATTGGACCCATCTCAGCCCATGGTATCTCACCCATCGTGCAAGTGATTTGCCTGATGGTGGATTTTGCATTGCTGCACCTAGGCTGCGATGAAGGCGGCTGCACTCTGCGCAACTTCTTCACCACCAGCTCCCCGGCAAATGTCAAAGACACAGTCAGCAAAGATCTCTGGGTGATTGCCATCCTTCTGAAGGTGTTTGCCACAAATCGTTTCTGCTTCTCGCTCTGCAACTTCGGTACACGTCATGCTGAGAAGTGAAGCTGTAGGTTGCATCTTGGAGTTCAAGTAGGTTTCTGCAGCCTTGCTGCCACCCAAGGTCACCCATGATCCATGTGCCTGAAACTCGTACGAACATGCATGGCTTCATGGGGATGAATCACAGACTTTACACTGCTGCTGAACATGGTCCACAAGGAGAACTGTGTGCATCACATGCTTTTGCACCACCACAAAATCTCTTATCCTCTTAGCAAATACTGGGGTCTTGCCCCTACCACGATTGAGTTTGCAGCGTACATTGTGCCAAAAAAAATTCATGTCCTGCCTGAAAGTTGTCGTCGGTCTTCACTCTCACCGATAGCTTGGAAGAGAAGAAGCTCAAGTAGGACTCCTTGCCCAAGGTCGGAAGAAACACTGTTGGAGGGTCAACAAAGTAGATCATGGGTAGAAACAGTTGTACTTGATACTGGATGGATTCCCTAGATTCCATTTCCTTGATTCCCTAGATTCCATTGATTTCACAGGAATATCTCCTGCCTTTGACCCCTTAGATTCCACATCATCCACCATGGCTCCTTTTCATCTGGCGTAGCTCCAATTTCACCACCCGCATGCTCCATATCATTCCTTTGTTGCGGAAAACATCTCCACAAAGGAAACTCTGCACCAACACACACTATAATATAACATTCGAGGGCAAACCCAAGCCGTAGATTTCCTCCGATCGCATTCGGTATTATATAAAACAACATAACAAATACTGCTATGCAAATTGACGAGTCTTGTTGAACATACTGATCTTGAAGTCCATGTGATCATCAGGTTTGCAGTGGACCAAAAGCCTTGCCACCTTCCGCGGTCCATGCTCTGATTGCACATTCAGCATGACCTCGGATTCCATATTTAGGAAGTTGTTTGTGTTTTTGCCGGCTTCCTTCACATCAAAGTTCGCACCATCAGTGGACAAAAGCTCAGTCTGTGCCAGTTGGCGCCAACTGGAACCGCGCGCTTTTTGCTGCCAAGCACAGTCCTGTGCAGTCAATTCCATGGTGCGTCCTGAATTCTTTTCCAGAAGCAACAGGCCTTGAGTAGTGAATCCGGACCCGGAGTAGGAAGCCAGGAGCTGCATGTCCACCGAACCCTTGGAATAGCTCCAGGCCACATAGTTGCCTGGTTTCAAGAGGCTGTAGTGATCTCTCCAAATGGTGGAAATGTGGGGGTCACCGTCATCACCTCCAGTGGAGGTAGTGCTGGTGCTCGGCCAAGCAGTTGTGAATGTGGTGAATGCGCTGGTGGTGAAACTGGTGGTGGAAGTCCTCTTCCTGATGCAGCAGCAAATCCTCTGATTCCCCGAGGCAGCACTGGCGCTGCATCGTGAATCCGCTGCAGCTTGAAGAGCTGATTGACGGCACTTGTTGTTGCCTGATGCTTTGTGAAAAAGATTTTGTTTCCATCAAATTGAACATCAACCCACGAAGAGTGTCATGTTTTTCATTTGAAGGGAAACGTTGACGAAAGAAAACACACACACAAAACAAACACACATACACAAAAACAAATACAGTAGACAACATCACCCGGCCTTTGGAAATATATGGGGCAGACTTGCTAACACTGTTCGTGGGATCGCCGTTGCATGTCCGCCCAAGGCTTTTCACCACAGTCTTCAAAGCTTGACCTGTCAGAAGCCTCTGTTGTGTCGGGTCGCATTTACCTGGATTACAAGCACGAACGCAGTTGCCTCCTCCAACAAGGCGCTTGGGAAACCCATACATGTTCTTTTGAACCGGGCTGGTGGATGGAGATTCTATTGAACAAAAAAAAAATTGCCCAAAGTGCGCAGTGCAAGGAGACTTGGGTTTTATATGGTTTTATAAGGTTTAACTATGTTTATAAATATATATAATTGGAAATATTTTGATATATTTGGACAACTTTGGCATTCTGGTTTGATATTACTTGTCTGATCATGTTGGACTAGTGTCTTCGACCAAACGATACAGTTTTCACGTCCGTCTGTGTCCTAAAGCGCTCAGCTTCCAAGTGCAGACGGCTCGAGCGGTCACTTGGAGAATCGAGGCATCGTCGCAGCCGGGAGCCGAGCAATTGCCGGGGTCCTGGCGCGATTCAAGGGAGGCGACCCTAAAGGATTGCACCATGTAAATCAACCATCCCATATCAAGACCATCCACTCGAACACAGCAAGCGTGAAGGGCTGTTGCTTTGTTTCTTTGGTCAAATTCAACACGCCACGAAAATAGGTCGCCAGCCAGAAGACTGATGGACAAAATATGGACAATGATAGACCATGGATTGGCTATCTTGACCAAGGAACCTCGCAATCTTAGCTGAGCGAGATAAAGAAACCAAAGCAGATCGATGGATTATGCCAAAAAATTATATATATATATCTTTGTCGGAATAATGTCTTACCTTCCACTCAAAGACTTTTCCTAAAATCCTAAAAGTCCTGAGAGGATGCAAAATGCATCAACATCACTGCCATTGCCATCATGGCCATGGCCTTTGCGAAGTAAAAGGAACAACACTGCGGTCTCAATCTTTCAAAACAAACGGCTTTGGCGGCGCAGGTGCGAATTTTAATGATTAATGTCCAGCTTTGTGGCATGATGTGGCATGTCTACCGCATCACAAGCACAATGCACTTGAAAGTGTTGAGGCATGTCTTTTGAAGATTGGTATATATCTCCTATTGAGGCAGGAGGTTTCATAGTGCCTGATAGTATATATAAATATAACAAACAAAACAATCACACCAAGTCACAGAAATCAATCCTTTGACAAATTGAACAACTTTTGAAAGACCAGCCTGTCCGAGAACATCGTCTTCTTTCTGTTGCTTTATCAATCGGGCTGCCGGTACTGGCCTGGACAACACGCTGTGTCACCAGGCGACGCACCCAAGACAACGAAACATGCGACCACCCAAACCATCAGAAAGAGTATGGCGGCCCTCGTTCACAAGATGGGCGCCACCCGAAATTCCGGGTCGCAACATGTCGCAAAACGAAGAAGAACTTGATGGACAGGTTTCTCCCGAAAACCCACCGACATGAGGAGGCCATGACTCATGTGAAGCAGGGGATTCAGAAACTCACCTAACTGGGATAGTGTTCACACAGCTTTGCCAGTCGTGAGATCGCTTCAGCCTGATGACCTGCCTATGAAGACTGGACTCTTCATTCTTCGTGTTGCTTTTCTGGGAGTGTTTCATGAGTGAATCTGCATAGAAAGGTGTCTTGTGGTATACATTCCAATGGACTCTGGTGATTCTGTTCTTCCAGCACTGGACTGGACACATGCCACAAAGGATGTGTGTGTCTTCTCTGCCAGGCCAC